ATTGAGATAAAGTCAGGAAGAGTAGCTGGGCAGCAGCAGTTCGGCAGCACCGGCTGCTCTTCAAACCAAGTCATGAAAAGACTTAAAAATCCTATCAAGCCTAAACAGATCACTTTTGATAGCCAGGGCAGACACAAACGGAGGGTCCTCCTGTGTCTGGAGCAGGAGCTCCAAGGTGGGACACCCGGGGCAGCCTCTGCCCCCAGGAGCTCACCCAGCACCTCCACCCCAGGCTCTGCTTCTCCCACCCGAGGCGGGGTGAGATGGAGGTTTACCAGTGTCACGGTGCAGCTGGAAGTGGTGGTCAGAGGCTTCTCCAAACGGGGAGTCCCTGGACTTCACCGTGTTGCTCCTGTGGGTTTGAAATTTGCTGCCAGGAAAGGGAACCGAAGCCTGGCTGGTGTCACCCTGGGGACAGCCCAGCTCTGCAGGGCAGTGGAGGGGCAGCCATGGGGACAGGTGACATTGGTGCCACTGCACAAGAGCGTGCAGCCAACGGGAAGAACTGGCCTGTCCAGCAGCAATTAGCCACTGGGTAGGTTGAGGTTAATCACCAATGGTTTCCTGCAGTGGCAGCAGACTGATAGCTGGCTTTAAAGTGTGGTCCTAAGGGAGACTTTTCCTGCAGGAGACCTGGAAGCCTAAACAAACCCACACTCAGCTCAAGAGTAAGGGGGTAGGTGTCAAAAGCAGACCTTTACATTTGAAGTTTCTTTCCCCCAACAGCACTTGGGGAAATTTCTCCTCTCTGTCTTTCCCTTTCTAACTTTTCCCTGAATCTTTGTGAAATGGGAGTGGGGGGAGAGGAAGAACCCAGTGCTGAATTTTCATGAAACAAAGTTCCATTTATATTTCCCCCCCCCCCCCTAGAAAAAACTGAACACATTTGGCCAGAATGAACCCTCCGGTTTCCCAGATCTCTTTGAAAAATTGAAACCATCAAAACCACTTTCCAAAACAAAAGCCACTGTTGATGCAGACAGCAAGTTGGTCAAGACAGACATTTTGAGGCAATTCTGACCATCTTAAGTGCTGCCAGTAATCAAAAGAATCCAGTTAGTGGGAAGGAGCAGCAGGAAGCCATAACCTGCCATCAGATCTTTATCTTTATTGCTGTAATTCACAGAAGCTGAGATCATGTCCGTGATGTTTGGTGTAGATGTGGTTGCAGCCCTTGTTTGAGGAGGCTTTATGGTCTGAAGTGAACAGGACAGGTGGAGGGTGGGAAGGGGAAGGGGGGAGTGAGCTGCCTGATTGTACAAGCAGGTTGGACAAGTTGTATACAATGCCTCAGTGGATGGTTTAAAGTCAATTTGGTGGCCAGTTTTTGAACAGGACATGCAAATAAATAGTTCCTACAATTTCCAAGGAAGGAGTACTTGCCATGGGGGCAAAGTTTCATCAAGTGAGGGAAGTGACATGGATTCTCCTTTCATGCTCCAACAAAAGACATGCCAGGCAGCCTTCCAAGATCTGTCTTCATGTCAGTACAGGGAGAGATAAACTATTATCTTGGCAGGTTTATTTTTCCATCTTTGTTCGTGCTGCTTCTTCTTTTGTTCTTCCCTTTTTCAGTTATCTTCTCCTTCCTCTTCCACTGTTCTTTCCCTCTATTTTATCCTCCCTCTCCAGCTGCCTTTCCCAAACTTTTCTGTAGATTTCCAGTGGCTCCATTATCACACATCTCCTCTTCCAGAAACAACACTTGGGGATTTCTGTTTAGTGCTTGAACAAGTCTGTGCATTTATGTAGCACGGTTGGACATTTAGATAGAACTTTTTAATGGAGAACTTCAAATGCCAAAGCAGGTTTCCTCAGACAGTAGATGTGTTTTAGCATCTCTGGTTTCACTCGGGGAAGACTGAAGTGCTGGGAAATCTATTGCTGAAGGTTGCACACAAAACCACAGCCAGATCCAGCAATAAACACAGGAATGACATTTTGGATGGTGCCTCCAGGAAATAAATGCAACATGAAGAAGTCAGCGTGTCCTGGGAAGCAACTGACTCCTGAAACCACTCTGCATCTCCCAGCCTCTGGCTGCACCTGAAGACAAGGGAATATTATAGCAGTTTCTTTAAGCTGCAGAGATAAAAGCAGTTGTATCACTGGGCACAAGCTGGTCTCAGCCTCCTGACCACGCTCTTTGCCCAGAGCCAACGGTCACACTGTTTTTCTGAGTTCTGTGCCCTGATCTTTTGTCAACACAATGTTGCAGCTTTACTGGCTTGTTTGTTGCTTTTTGGGTTTTTTTTTTTGTTGTTGTTGTTGTACGAGTTCCTCACGCTGGTTTGAATCATGCCCTTGCTCAGAACTTTTTCCACGTGGAAAATTAAAGCAAGATAAGAGTTTCCTTCCTGGCTGACCCACGTCTGCTCTGAGATCAGCTTGCAGAGCATGCCTGAGCTTCATTATTACGTTTTCCCACCACCTCCAGCTGGACTTAACAACTATTTCCAGCTCATGCAAGCTGCTGAAATCTAATTTCATCTTTGCTTTTGCCAAAAGCAAGGAATGAAGAGAGGGAATAAACCCAGAGCCACGCTTGCTGAACACCACTTTGTTACCATCTGTGGCTTTTTAAGGAGTTTGTGCACAGGAGGTGGGCAGGAAACCAGCAGCTTTCCCAGGAAAAAAAAGCCCTGTGTCCTCTGTGCTGCTCTCCTTGGCTGTTAGCTGGTGGATTGGAAAAAAAACAACCCTTCTCTAAACCCCAAAGCCAGTTTTGACAGTGACAAATCATTAGCTTGGAGCCAGGCTGCAGCACAACAAAATCAACACGAGGATGGGGCAAAAATGCAAACTTCTCTCTTGTCAAGCACGTTAGATGTTCAAGGGAAGGAGAAATTGTTATTGAGAAAAACAAAGAGAGAGAAGTGAGAGGACTGTCAAACCAGGTTAAAAATAACCACCTGGGTATTATCTCCTCACACAGGAGTGTCTGCACAGCTGCTGTGTTGATGCCATGTCAGTCAGGCCATGGTTGTGTTGGAGATTATTGTAAATTAAAGCCATAGGCAGGTAAGCTGGAAAGAGGATTTCAAAGGGAAGTGCTGCCATGGGGCTGGGAATGGTGACAAGGAGGGAAATGTCCCCAGGCTGTGGTGTGGCAGGTGACTAGGCACAAGGGGGACCACGGGCAATACTGGAGATGTTCCCCTGGGAGGTGGCCCTTGGTTTGGAGCTGCTGGCCCTTCAGCATGTCTGGGAGCTTGGTGGCTCATCCCCATCCTGCTCTGGGGTTCTCACAGGGATGGGGGAGTGTCTGCTGCTGGTGGCTGGGATGAGTGAGCAAGCTGGGGACACTGGAGGTCCACCTGTGCATCTTGCACAGAGCTGTTTTTAGTCTCTTTAGAGCAAAGAAGTGAGGTAAGTTGTGTCCCCCCACCAATACCTGCACCAACCTCGGCTGTGGCACAGCCCCGATGCTGAGCAGGAGCTGCAGCTCCCAGTTCTCCTCCCACTTCCAATCCCAGTTATGGAAAACACCCACAAACCCTGCAGACAGCTTCTGGCCAGGAGCTGTTGCAGGGAAAGACTGTTCATAGTCTTGCTGTCAAACACGGCTCTCTTAGCACCCAAAAATACCTGATGGTCCAGACTTGTGCCTCAAAGGGGCCACTACTGTCATCTACCTGATAGCCTGACCTCCTGCATGTCCACAGGAACAGTGACCTGCAGTGTCTGCAGACAGACAGACCTGCAGACTGGGGGGAAGGAGGGGGGCAAGTCAAAAGACATAAAGTTGGATAAATATTTGCTCTGTGGCATCTACTGGAGAAATTCCTCCAGCAGGAAAACACACTGCAAATAAAGATACCCTGTGCTGCTGGCTCTCCTGCCACCACAGGAGAGCTTGGTTGGGCTTTGCCCCTTTGGGGCTCTCAGACATCCTTGACAATTAATCTGAGCCACTGTGCCCTAGGTGGGGGACCTGGCTGGTTGGTAGGAGCCAGGTCCCAGGGGAATCACAGGATGCTTTGGAGCAAAGCTGTGATCAACCAGTACCAGAGGCTGGGTTTGGAGGAGGGGGACCAAGGAACAAGTGACACCAGGCAGGGCTGCTCAAATATAGGGCTGCTGCCATAGCCAGGAAGAGTCATTAGGGCTTGAGCTAATTATAATCTGGGTTGTGGCTGGAGGTTTGTGAAATAGGAAGCATTTTCTACTGCATGGCTGCTTCACTGAGTAGAGAGGGTCTCGGTGGCACACAGACAGGATGCACCTGCAGGGCCTGTTTCTGGTAAGCAGGGAGAGATTGCAGGTCAGGAGAGCACAGGCTGGGCCCTCAGTAGCCTTCCTGAGCTTTAGGTGTGCTTTACTCTGGCTCATTTTGGTTATCTCCAGCACAGATTATCTCTACCTCCCTCATCAGGGAAGCCATCAGAATTAACTTGTTAATGCTGGTAAAGCTCTGCTTCTCTGATGGCTGCTCTTGCCACCAGAAGCTATTGTTTAATTTGTCCTTATTCCTTAGCTTCTGAAGGAGAGGTTTCATTTTCCCCCTTTGTGCTGGTCAAGGTTTCTTCTGTAACCTTTGCTGTTGTTGTTGTGCACTGAGCAGAGCATTGACTCATCGGCAGCCTCTGTGATAACTATAATTAGGAGCAAATGCATTTACAAAGCTCTTTCCTCTGATGCAAGCACATCATTGTCCTTGTAGAGAAATAATTCTTACCGTGCTTTCAGGTGGGTGTGGGCAGCTAGTGATTACATTTGACACTCATATTATATGAGTGGATTTTCCTAGCTGGATATGCTACCTATGAGCAAGTGGCAGTGTGAAGCTGTCTTTATACTCCCCACTTGTTTTGAGTACAAGTCTCTACAAGTGCATCTAAACATACAAGAGAAGAATATAAATGTACAGAATGGAGTAGTGATCAACGAGAGCATTGAAACAGTGTCACATACCCAGAGACTCATTTAGTGCTTCAGAAAAAGAATAAAAGTCAACAGAAAATAATTCACTGGAGTTTTCTCAAAACATCAGCTGGGAACAAGGCTTGTTGGGAGGACATCTGTGCCTGACAATCCCTTCCCACCACTGGCACTGAGCTCTGCACTCAGAGGTGTGTCTCTTTTCCTCCTGGCAAACACCTGCTGGAGGGAACAGACCTTGGCAATACTGTAAGAAGAGAAGTAAAGACTAGTTGAGCTGCATGGGTCTTTTCCTCTCCATCTTACACCTCGCACAGCTGCAGAGGGGTTAAGGCTAAGGAAGAACCATGGATCTCCCATCCCATTAAAATGCTGCTGTGCTCATCAGAGGAGTTTCTGGGAGAGGAGGCAGAGCTCAGCCCTGCCCCAGGCAGTGAGGAGGGCACTGAAAGGTCTTGCTTTGCTTGAGGGGGAAAAACACAATTTAGACAACTGTCTCAGTGGCTAAATGGTAGGAAATACCTACATATATCCCAGGCTGCTGCATTTTCCTTGGTCACCTCAATTGTTGATGGTTCGGGTGCTGAAATGCATCAGTGTAGTGTTGCTGTAGATAACAGCAGAGAGAGTGGCCTGGACTGGCAACAGCCCATTTCTGTGGGTGCAGGAGGTCTGGCTGGTTGGGCAGGCACAGGTCAGTCACTTGCACCTGCAGGCACCTGGTCCTGGACCACCTTGAGATACCCCTCTGAGGGCTCTCTGTGAGGTTTTCCATCTCTGGTTACCCCCACCTGCCTTCTGCCTCTGCTGGGGGGTTTATACCCAAAACCTGCCCGTGTGGTCCCACTGAGGTTGGTCTGACCTGGACACACAGTGTCCTGGAGCCTCTGGCTTTGCTGTGCTTTGCTGAGCCGGAGTCCCGGGAAGTGCTGCTGCCAGAGCTGGCTGGGGCAGGTGAGGAGTCAACAGGTCACCTTTGGGTTTGCAGCAAATGAAGATGTGGTCATTGTGTGTCTTCCTCTTGGCTTAAGACCAGGAGGGACTTGGAGAGTGTTTATCAGCCAGCTGAAACGGTTGAGGCAGGTCAGCTCCTGGTCACTCACTTTATACCTGAGGTTTTCTAGTTCCTGTGTTACTTTGTACACTTGTCTGTGTGCTCAGTACTGACGGTTCCAGCCTTCAAAGCACCGGCTGGAGCACTCCCAGTTCCTTCTGCCAGAGGTTAACACTGAGCTGCTTATCTGCCTCGTGGGGAAATGGCAATAAATCCACCCTTAGGGGCAGAGCTGCCCGGTGTGTTTTACTTCTCATTGTTCTTTTGCCTCCCTCCGTGATGGGCCATTTGACACAGTTATAAATGGTGCTGTGCTGTGTACAATTAACCTCCATTTATCATAATTCCAGTGCAGAGAAGTAAATGCTTCATTTCAAGGCAGAAAGTGACCCAGATTGTTTCCCACGCAGAAGGGGGGTATGTTTAGTAGGGTGGAAAGCACAGAGGTTAGTGCCCTGGTACAGTGAATTCCAGTCATCTCTGGGGCACAGAGATGTTTGCTCTGCTTTTTTTCTCTGTCCTCTGGGCATAAAAAGAACCAAATACAAAGAATGCAAATATTGGGTGTTCTCACTAAGCTTTTAACTCCCCAATTCGCTGGTAAAAGGGGACTCAGACTGGTGTTAGTGGGCTGTGGGAATGCAGAGGAATTCCCCTTCTCTTGGGCCTGAGGTTTGTAGCCAGATGTGGGTCTCAGCTCCACAGGCCCAGTGCTGGCTTGGAGCAGGGGAAAATTGTCTTCTCAATTGTTTCCAGCCTGCATCTTCTGCAGGAGCACTTTTCTTGGGGCTGAGTATTCATGCACCAAAACTGAACATTGTCTGATAATTAATTATTATTGATATATGTTAATATATTATCACTATGTACGTACATACATAATAAATTGCTAATATTATTAATATAATCTTAAACATTTTGTCAGGCCAGGCTGGACTGTCTTGCTTCTCTCTCTGGCTGTTCAGCCCCATCATGTCTTGTCTGGCACTAAATATTTCCTCCATCTCCTTCCTATTTTGAAGGGATAACGTCCCCTCCACCTCCCTTGGGGAATGGGTAGGAATGCAAAGAACAATTGTTTGCTACCAATACTGTGTGTCTCATGCAAATGATTCCAACCTCATGCACTGACCTTTCCTTTGTTATCCTTATCTTTTAAAGAACAGTTTCTGAAGCTTTTGTTTGGGGAAAAAGGCAAACAAACCAGGTTTCCCCCCCACCCCCTTTTCACCTGATCTACAGTTGTGTCCGAGCAGCCTGTTCTACCTACAGTCTAGGGACAGACACTATTGTTTTGCTCTGGGGTCAAATAATGTTTGGGAGGAAAGTCAGCAACACTCATGAATGTCAGCAGGTAAGATACACTCTGTGTCAGAAACACAGTGCCCTGGGGAAATTGCACTGACCTTTATTTAATCAAGACAGACTTGTTATGGCTTGCCAGCAAACTGCTGTGACCCGTGAGTCCTCTGTGTGCATGGATCTACCACCCAGACCATTCCACCTGCCCTTTCCCCATCTTCCTCTCCATCCTTGCAGGCCTGAGACCCGTGTCTGGACGGTGCTGCTGCTGCTGGGGACCTGCCTGCTGTACTGTGCCCGTGTCACCGTGCCCGTCTGCGCCGTCGCCCTCAGCACCCACTTCGACTGGGACAAGAAGCAGTCTGGGATAGTGCTCAGCAGCTTCTTCTGGGGCTATTGCTTGACCCAGATCATCGGAGGACACATCAGTGATCAGTACTGGAAATTATTCTCATCCTTTTCCTCTGCTTGGCCTTTTTCAATGACACTCAACTTGGTTTTGACCCCTCCGTTCCAGTGCTGACAGAAATTGTCACCCTGGGACACTGCTGGGGTGGGAGGGTGAAGTGTGGCCATGGGGAGAAGCTGCAGCCCTGCAGGTGGCTCTGAAAGCAGTTGTGGTCTTCCCATCAGCCTCACTCAGGGTCTGTAGCTCTGATTTAGAAAGGACACGTGTAGTTTTGACTGTGCCTGTAGTTTCAGCTGTACCTGTAGGGCAGCCAGCCCTGGAGGGCTCTGCAGGGGCAGAATCCCCAGCAAACACAGGGAGTGCCCACACAATCCCTGCTGCCTCACCAGCTCCTGCACAGCAGCTGCCAGCAGAGCTCTACAGGCATCTTAATGGACACTTGGACCAACACAGGGTTAGTTTTTTTTCACCTGGAGACAGTGAAGAGCACTTTTATACCAGCGGGATTTTTTTTCTGGTGAAGTTTTTTAGCACTGGTTCAGTCATTGGAATGAAAAAAGCAAACCCACAAGCTCACACGTTAAGCTGATGAAAGAAATAGTGGGTGTAAAGCAGACTTTATCTGAGAAAAGTGAGAAATGTTTATACTCTTTGCATAGTTCACAGCTACTGCTCACCAGGGATGCTATTTGTCCACTAACAAACAGTTTCATCCCAGAGGTGCTGACCAGCCATTTGCAGGGTTTAGGGCTGCAACCACTAACCAGGAGAAGGAAATATTTCCTTTTATTGAGGAGCACAGCTTTTTTTCTGTTTTATCTCCATTGACTGTCTTCATTTTCAGTTCAGCACCTCCAGTTTTTCCACCCTACACTCTCATGCAACTGTTTCACAGTCAGGCCCCCATCACAGTTTCCGTCAGGTTTGGAAAAACCAAGAGTCTCCATTTGATCATAGCAATTAAAAACCAACTTCCCCAGTTAGCTGTAAGGAAAGAACTAAGTAATTACCTGCTCAGGTTCCTTTCCCCAGCCACCCTGTTCTTAGTGAGGAGGGCTTTATTATGAAATCTTTTGTGAGGAACACATGCCTGGAAGGATTACATTATCCATGCAGTGAACTATGCTATTTAATTATGTTTCTTAATAGTTTGCAAGCAAATGCCTGCAAGAAAACCCACCTGTTAACAGGCAGAGCTGATGTAAAAGAGCAGATGGAGGAGAAAACCCTGTCACTGGTTAAGAAAAGCAGAACAGTGACAGCAGCTGGGCTTCCTTTCTGTCAGGAACTGGTGTGCATCTGCCTCTGGTGTTGGTGTGTGTTGGAGGGACAGGAAAGGCAGTCCTGGTGGCCAGTGTCCTGGTGGGAGCAATGCTGGTGGCCAGTAGTTTGCTATCTGCTCCAGGGTAGCTGGAGGTGGGAAGGGGGGAGGTTGGAGCTGCTCCCCAGAGGGCTGAAGACAAATGTGGTAGAAGAACAGGTTTGACTGAAAAGTTGCTCTTGAAAACAGGCTGAACTGGGAAGACCACTTGAGTCTTGCCTGGGAGGCTTTTGCCCTTTTGCTCTCCCCTTGTTTTTGATGATGTGTGTTCTGTCTTCCAGAATAGGAGGTGAGAAGGTCCTGCTCCTCTCAGCATCAGCCTGGGGGTTCCTCACGGTCCTCACCCCGCTGCTCACCCACATCACTTCTGCCCATCTGGTTTTTATGGCCTCCTCCAGGTTCCTCATGGGGCTGCTACAAGGTGAGACCCTTGTCCTGAGTACCCATCTGTGTGTCTGACTTCCTTGCATGGGGAGCCAGGAGATCCCACATGCCATAAATTTGGCTGCAAGTCATGTGGTTTGCAGGGCATGAACCTTCTGTGTGTTCATGCAATCCTCTGCCTCCACACTGCCTCCACAACCAGAACTTCCACAGGAAAAAGAAGTGACATTTCTAGAGAAAGTCACTGACAAATCACTCCCCTGTAGAAATCTCTCTGCCAGAGAAGGGGCTGCAGGCTTCTGAAATCATTGCTGTTCCTGTTTGATCTTCTGCATTATAAAACTCCTTCAAAGCACTTGGGGAAATTTGGTCCTTTCCAAAAGTCGTTGGATAATTTGGGATGATTTCCCTTCCCTCCTGCCAAGCTGCAGCACTGGGGGACCCTTGGAACAGGTGCTTTGGCACTGATGGATTGACTGTAGCAGCAGTGGTGATGAAACAGGATTACAGAGAAAGAACAAACAAACCTCTGGTGGTGAGAGATTAATTTATTTTTATTTTATATCCTGTTTTGAATTCACTAAAGGTGGTGTTGCTTTGTCTCAGTGCTTCCTTCCTGCTGGATCTTTAAAATTTGCCTTTGATTTGCTCACAAAGACACAGGAGCCTGACTGCTCCCTGCCTTGCTCCTGTTTTTTGCAGGGGTGTATTTCCCATCCCTGGCCAGCCTGCTGTCCCAGAAGGTCCGGGAGAGCGAGCGAGCCTTCACCTACAGCACAGTGGGCACTGGATCCCAGTTTGGGTAAGTTCAAATGGCTTTGACTGGTGAGTGACAGTCTCTGGACACCGTATATGACAAAGTGCCACTAAATAGTTGGAGGCAAAACTCACAGGCCAAAGTACATGTGGATTCCTGTGTCCTTGAGGATACCAGCTGCAGCTGAGGAAGCCTCAGGCAGTTCCTGTCATGTGTGTCAAGGATTTATGTTTGGTTTTATTTTTTACAAACCAGACTTTAGGGTGTTTGCAACATTTAATTGCTATGGGAAGCAGCCTGATCCAGTAGGAAGAGCAAGATTCAGCCTGAGACTGGTTGCCTGTCCTCTTTGATAGATGGGGATAATATAACTTCCCCATCTCTGCTAATCTCCATAAGAATTTCCTTCCTAAATGAAAGGCTTGCTTAAAAGCCAAGCAGAAATATTAATGCATTTAATCACTTAGTTTCCCAGTGTACTTATTTCTTTTGCTGATTTATACCTTCTCTGAGATACTTTCCTCAACCTCAGTTTCCTTCCCTGAGGAGCAGGTTTCAGGGCAGGGCTGTGAGGTCCCTCAGTGGTTCCTCCTGGAGGTGCTGAGATGCCACACGGGGAACACGGCAGGTTGCAGAGCCAGGGGTGGCCAGGTGGGCAACATCTGCACCCTCAGAAACACTTTTTAAGTGCACTTAGTGATTCGCAGCCCCCACCCCAGGGAGCATCTCCTGTGGCTGTGAGCAGCCCACTCGTGGGGCCAGCCCTGGCAATCCCTGTGCTTTCCTTGCAGGACACTGGTGGTCGGCGGGGCAGGGTCCCTCCTCCTGGACTGGTACGGCTGGGAGAGTGTCTTCTACTTCTCTGGTTTGCTCACTTTGCTCTGGGTTTACTGCACCTGCAAGTATCTCCTGGGAGAGAGAGGTCAGTCCAGACACCTGCATCCCTCGGGCTGCCCCCATGGCTGCTGGACACCAGTGGTACCTCCCAGTTACTTCCTGCAAATCCTCTCTGTTGCCAAGATCGTGCCTGGTTTTACACAAAGATCTTTTGCTCACATCTTCTATAATACCCACTGTGTCTCAGCCAAGATACTAAACCCAGAAACAAGTGTTTTTTCCCCCTGATTTCCTATTTCCAGTCCCACGCTGGATTATAATGCTGTCGAGAGCCTGATCCAGCTCCTCAGCTCTCTTAAGCACCAGTGAAAACACCAAACACAGCATGATCTTCAAAGTGGATTAAGCTAAAGCAGGGCAAGATACTTATTCCAAACTGAGAGCATCTACTCGTAGAGCTTTTAAAAACCACTTAATCCAGAACATCTCTTCCCAAATTACTGTCTGGGAGTAATTTGGCTGATGGGGAAGCCATTCCACCTGGCTGCAGCAGTTCTGGTGTGAGCGTGGTGTGCAGGAGCTGAGCCCTTGGGGGGCCTGGGCTGTGCCTGGTGCTGCACAAAATCCAAACCTGCTCCCTGCCCAAGGGACTTTTGTTCAGTCAGAACAAGAAATGCAACAAATGAGTGAAGGTGGCTGGATGGGGAAGTGTGTGGGTGCAGTGGAAAAAAAATTTCGCTCAATGTAATAAGGTGTTTTAATGAGCATTCAGCCAAAAAACAAGTTAGAAAGAGATTAAAGGTAGTTGTACAGCAGTCTCCTGGGGCTCCCTCCAGCTGCATGGCAAATTACTGATCAGAGCTTTCTTTTTTGTGTTTTCTCCCCTGCAGAACTCATCATCCCCATAGATTATTTAATGAGAAGCCTCTCACTACCCAAGCAGACCAAAGTTCCCTGGAAGCAGCTGTTTAAGAAGGCACCAATATGGTAGGCAGCTGTGGTGGCCTCAAGTGTCAGCAGGGCTGGGGAACAAAAATCCTCCCAAGGGCTTCTTCTCCTCTCTCTGCTTATTCTCTCTGCCTTTTTCCTACTTATTTATATATTTGGGAAACATGACCAGCTTTTCTAATCTCTTCTATATAAATAAAGAACTAAAAAGGTAAACTTGATAAAAAGCAGCTTCTGTTCTGTCTGGAGCAATGTCAGGGTTGAATGTTAGTGGCAAATCTTTCTCCATCACTGGCTGTTCCCTGTGTGGGCTGTGTGCTCCTCCAGAGCTAGATTCTCCATCAGTCTTATTAGAAATGCTGCTTGTGGTGGGCTCCTGAGAAGTGCTGCTCAGGGGCTCTGGGTGGCACAGGCTGTGCTCTCATTGCTGGCAAAAAATACTTTTTCATAGTAATATTTATCTTTTGGATGTTGTGTTTGGTTCTGAAGCTCATCCAAGCCTGTTCCCAGGTCCTGTTTAAAGACGGGAAGAAGGGTGATGGGGCTGCAGGGCAGCAAACCCACTCCTGCCTTGAACAGCAATGGAGCATCTGCTGATAACAAATCCCTAGAACAGGGCAAACAGCACCTCTGGGGGCCGGGCAGCTCTTGCAGGCTGGAAGGGACTGGTGGGAAATGCACTCACACAATCACTGCTGCAATTAACCCCTCCTGAACCCTGGGTCTGATGTCAGGTGCTGTGTCATGAGGGCAGAGAAGGAACGAGCTTGTAAGTGGCAAGCCAAAAGCAGAGGTTATCTAGGAAAAAAATCTCAGGAAGCATTTGTAGTGCTGCAAGGGACTTATTTATAGATCAGGAACTGGACTACTGGGTTGTTCCAGTGCCTGTTTCCTGCCTGGTGTGACCTGTCACTCCTGATTATTTCCTCCCTGCTGTGTATTTTCAGGGCTGTCATCATTGCTCAGCTCTCTACAGCCAGCACGTTTTTCACTCTCCTTTCCTGGCTGCCAACTTTCTTCAAGGAAACTTTCCCCGAGTCAAAGGTAAGTGGGCTCCAAGACCCAGGCACTGCTGGTCTCCCTGCGAGCCAGGGGGTGTTGCGTGCTGGCCCAAAGGGCTTGGTTAGGGAGGAGGATGAAGGCAAGAGGGACTTGGAGAGGGCAGGTGGGGAGGCAGGAGAGGGTGGGAGGCTTCCCTGTGGGTTTAGCAGCTGTTTATACCTCACACATGCATTTGGAGAGGGAAACCAGCATCTTACTTCCAGGTAGACAGAAGCTGGTTTCTAGTCTTTAGGGCTGCTGAAGTGAGGCAGAGCTGGGGCAGCTCCCAGGAAGGGAAGAGAGGGTTATATTTGGTTTTCAGGCTGCTTTTGTTCTGAGGGAGGGTTTTCAAATGGCACAGAGCTCCTGACATTGTGCGGTTGCAAATGACCATCCACCCATTCACTGCTGGGTTTCTAACTGTATTCCCATGGTAGAGCTCAGTCCTGCCTGCAAAAATAATCACCACGAATAACGTGCACTTCAAAAACACTAGAAAACTTCTCTCTCCTCAGCACAAATGATGTTTGTTTTTCAGAAACCTTGGCAATACTCATCTGGGCTGAGCACTGGTATTTTGATTTTCTTGTTCTCAGAAACTCAGGCAATCTTTTCCACAATGGTTCTGATCTATAATTTCCAGAGCAGCTTACAAAGCCTTTTCATGTCACACGTGTAAGGTGCTTTATGGTCTACTTGATATTTATATTAAAATCATGTATTAAACCAGCAAACATATTGTTGTGACAAGATCTGTTCACCTCGAGTAATGTGCTTGTGCAGCAGTAATTTACCATCTGTTAAGTATTATATCATGGTGCCCTTATGTAAGATGCTCTATATAGTGTTCCTGCATCTGATAATCGCTTCATACATTTCACTAAAATGGGGTTTGAGGACACTTGATTTTAGAGGATGGAGATAATCCTGAGTGTGGGAAACCTATGGCACCTGCTGGTCACAGTCCCTTTCTGCGGGTGAGCTGCCTTCACTGCTGCCTTCACCACCTCATGCACCTGCCAGGGTGGAGGTGCTGGAGGGTTTTGCACCTCAGGATGATGGGCCACAGGGATGAGACAAGGGTGGTTTGGTGTGTTGGGACTGATCTGCTGAACAACCCCTGTTGGTGTTGACAGACACTGAAGGTACCACCCCACAAGCCCCATGTATGGGGTAACGTTTTCAAAAGTGACCAAGATCCAGGGTTTCAAAGGCACTGAAAGTTGCAGTTGTAGCTTTGTACGATTTTTTTGGAGCAGCTGAAACAGGATTATTGAAATGCAAGGTTCCTCAGCCCTCCTGCACACCCAGCCATCCTGCTGTGGTGAGGAAGGGAGGGATGACTCCACGGGGCAAAAGAGGAGATGCAGGGGACCATGGGTGGACGTGTAGGTCCAACCAGCTGAAATAAAGCCCAGCCCAACCTGCACTGATTTTCCTCCTGGGATCTGGCCACTAAAATGCCTCTGAGCAGCTGTAATCCCGATGACTGGTAATCATCTGTGATTACAACTCTAGCAAGCTTGCTCAAGTGAAAATAGACCAAAGTATGTTGCTGCCTTAATCCTGGTGTTAGGAAATCCAGCTATGTTCCCTCAGCTTCCCAGTAATGCTGCTAATGAGGTTGAAGCTGATGTTGGAAATGTTGCTGACAGCTTTTCTAATGACCCACAAGGCAGAGTAAAATCTACAGCTTGCTTTCCAGGGCTCCGTGGCTCTCTGCCACATCACCTTGCTGAACAGTAAACTTTGCCACATTTAATCCCTCCTTCCCAGAGCAGACAGAGATTTCTGCCTCTCCCCTAGATGCAGGGTCAGAAGGAAAGACAACAAACCAATGAACATCTCAGCCCCATCATGCTCCTGCCACTGCACAGACCTTGAAGTGAGGGATTGCTGTGCAAAGGAGATAGAGATCCTGCAAGAAGAATCACTTAATTTTTTTCCCTTTCTACAGATATCACAGACTATCAGATAAAATATTTGGAGACAAACCCGGCTCTGACAGCAAAACTCTCATGATTTTTTCTCCCTTTCAGGGTTGGGTGTTTAATGTAGTCCCCTGGCTGGTTGCAATTCCAACAAGCCTGTTCAGTGGATTTCTGTCTGATCACTTAATCAACCAGGGTAAGAGGTCTTTTGGCTTTTCCCCAGCTCTTGTGTTATGTGATGTGGTAAGAGGGTCTGGTGGCAGAAGGTGGGTTTGTTGTAGGGAGAAGTCCCAGCAAATAGACAATGTGAGGCTCTGATTTGAAATCGGCATAAATACTTTAAAGTCCAAATCCCATCCATGTGTTTTGGGCTCCCTTTGATCTCAGTCACAATATGCACCTGGAGATGAAATCTGGCCACCTGAAATCCACTTAACCTGTTGCCTTCTGGCCATCTGAACAAGGGGACCTGATGAGCTGTGCTTAACTACACATCCTTTCTTTTCCAGGGTACAAAACCATCACCATTCGCAAGTTCATGCAGGTAAGAGCTGGAGCACAGGAGTGACACTTGAGCTCCCTGCTAAGCTTTGTTTGCACGGCTGGTGGCTGTGGGTGGGAAGAGGAAAGCTTTCCTAGCTTTGCAAGTAGACTGATGGTCAGTGCATGTGGGAGATGAAATCCAGAGGATAACCCTGATTGAGAAACAGAGCATGGACCCAAGGTCACACTGAGCACAGAGACTTGTGAGTGCTCTGAAGAGGTTTTCCTTCACAGGCAAAGGCCAACCATAGGTTGTCACTCCAGATGACCTCTTACATACTAGGAAATAGCAACACAAGGATGAGCAGAAGTAGAAATGCTGGGTGAGAGCACAGCATGTCCTCTCTCTGCTCCGCAGCATCGTGTCCCTCTGGACAGACTCTAAAGGCAGGACATGGAGGGAAAAGAAAGGCTGGAGAAGTACCTGGTGTGTACGAGCTCGTGCCACTGTAAAAGGGAACAGTTTGCCTGTGAAGGGAGTTGCTTTCTTCCTTACAGAAAACATGCTGTGGTATTTAATTTTCCTTTTCTTCCAGGTCATTGGCTCCGGTGTCTCCAGCATTTTTGCTTTGTGCCTGGGCCAGACATCCAGTTTTTGTAAAGCAATAGTGTTTGCCTCTGCCTCTGTTGGACTTCAGACCTTTAACCACAGGTGACCATGGTGGAGATGACAGTAGCTGTGACCTGTAGCTGTTACTCCACTCTTGGCATTTTGGGGTGTCAGGGGAGGCTGCCTCCCTCAGGACTGTCAGAGCAGGAACCAGTGCTTGTCTGAGCATGGTGTGATTGGTGGAGCTCAGTGCCTGTGGGGCTGGAGTTGATCCAGCAAAACCTCTGGTGTGGGGAAGGGCTTGACGTGCTGCAGGGCACAGTGCACCAGCAGGAAGCAGGGAGATGAAGCAGGAGGGGAATTACATTTTGGTCCCTCTGACCACTTTGAATCCTTTTCCTCCCCGTACTCTCCTGTGCTGCTTTGCTCTCAGCCTCCTTCCTCCTGCCAGCACCATGTGCTGCCTGGGGCCCCTCCCATTGTTTTGACAAAGTGAACTCAGTGTAAGCAGTTGTGTCCCATTCCAACAGCCATTTTCCCCTCTCTGTTCCTCACCAGTGGGATTTCAGTAAACGTGCAGGATCTGGCCCCCTCATGTGCTGGCTTGCTCTTCGGTAAGGATCTGGGGAGGTTCAGTTGGGCTGGGGGACACAAAGGGGCCCAGAGAAGGGACACAGAGATGACCAAAGGACTGGGAAGTTGTACGAGGAAAAGCCAAGATAACTGGGTTTGTTCAGTCTGGAGAAAAGAAGGCTGAAGGGAGAGCTTATTGTCATGGTCCAGTACTTAAAGGGTGGCTGCCAAGAAGCTGGAGACTCCCTTTGTGCAAGGAGGCACATGGAAAGGACAAGGGGCTATGGGTGCAATTTACTCCTGGGGAGACCCTGATTAGACATTGTCAGCATCATCACTATGAGAACAGTCAGATGTTGGAATAATCTTCCCCAAGGAAATGGTGGATTCCCCAACACTGGGCAATTTTAAGACTCAGCTTGACAAGGTGCTGAGCCATCTCGTCTAAACCGTGTTGCTATCTGGAAAGATTTGACCAGATGATCCCTGAGGTCCCTTCCAACCTGACATTCTGTGATTCTTTCCATGTGCCAAACACTTCCCTGCACCACGGGCTGGGGACAATGACAAGTGGCAGTTGTCCCAGCTGCCAGCAAGGCATTTTGCTGAACACGTGGACCAGGGGTTGGGTGGGAGCCTGGATAAGCCCACTCATGTCTGTGGGTTTTGAATACCCAACTCCTTTCTTTTCTTTACAGGTGTTGGGAACACAGGTGGAGCCCTCCTAGGTAAGATACCTTCTGCAGCTCCTCCTTTCCTGGGAGTCCTCTCCTCACAGGCAGGCAGGATCCAGCCCCAGAGCCTTTGCATTTCTTTCTCTTCCCTCCTGTCCCAGGTGTCATCTGCGTGTACTTGGCTGGCTACCTGATTGAAACAACTGGCTCCTGGATTTCTGTTTTCAACCTAGTGGCTGCTGTGAACAGCATTGGCCTCTGTGCATTCCTCATGTTTGGAGAAGCCCAGAGAGTGGACACAGACTCTGTGTACATGGACCTCTAGGATGAGTCCAGCCAGCAGCTGAAGGACAGGAGAGCGTCACGTCTAAGTGTCATTGTTGCACAAGTGCCAAAGAATAGATATATATTTTTAACAGGTTTAACAGGAAAAAAAATATACTAAGACCAATATATAATAATAGTGGGTCAGGACGAAACCCATGGGAAAAAAGAAATTTAGAGTTCATTTTTTGCTCAGGGTGTAGCTGGTGGCCTGCAGAGCCACCCAGCTCAACATTTCCAGTGAGGATATGACCCGTGAGGCCAGTTTGCCCCAGTCTGCGTCCAGTGGACAGATACCAATGTGCCCAAAGCTGCTGGCTCAGCTGGTCTCCAAAGGCAGCTGTGGTTTGTGGGCAGCCCCTTTGCTGTGCTGGGAGAGGGTCCCTCCGTGCTCGGTGCCCTGTCACCCCTGGAGGGGTGACCAGCCCTTGGGCTGCTGTGGGACACACGTCCTCTGAACTGCCCGAGAGGACCTGTCCAAATGAATGTATCTCTGACCTTCACCCTCTCTCATGTGCCTTCATTTTGCAGTCTGCTTGGCAGGGACAAGCCAGGTGGTCAAGAAGAAGGGGTTGGGAGATGGATTCAAGGCTTCCTTTCAGGGGAGGGCTTCTGGCTGGATGCCTGCTGTGGGTCCAGGGGCAGGAGGTTGCCTCAACGCTGCCTTCACCAGCCTTGAGCTGAGCCAGAGGCTACAGAGCAGAGGGCCCAAACCCATCTTTGCTCAAGGGCTCCCTCCTCTCCCAGTTCATTTTACTCCAGCCCTGAGCTAAGTTTGACCACCTCCAACCTGAGAGCAGAGGAAAACCACCATCCCCTGCGGTCAGGCTTGGCCAGGCTGACCTCATGGTGTGGGTGCAGCCCAGGAACCCCCATGGAGCTTTTAGCTGTGCCCTGTGAACGTGTAGAAAGAACTGGTCACATTCTGTGTCATGGATCCCTGCTCCCAAACACTTTCTGCTTGATTGGACATGTCCACGTGCTCTCCAAGGGGCACAGGAGACTTTCCACAGAGCCTGCAATGGGCAGGTTTTGTCCCTATATTAAACATAAAGCAAATTTCTCCCCTGTGGATCTATAGCACTGGGTGTGGATCCCAGTGTCAGAGGGAAGTACTTGGCTGTACAAGCCTCTGAGCCTGAATGTCTTAAGTTATTTATACATAGTTTTAAATTTAAGCACCAAATTCTCTATTTTATGTACTGCCTGGTTCTACGTGCTTATTTTGGGTGGTACTCCCACCAAACCCCACAGGATTTCTAGAAGGGAAGGATTTACCAGCCTACAGTTTCTGGTTTGGTAGGATCTATTTTAAATGTGGCATTTCATTTTAAAGCAATTCCTTGCTTTTCCTCCCAGCCCTTGCTTGCAGCCCAAGAGGATTTCTTTGATTTCTCCAGGACTTACCAGAAAACTTCAGCTGAGACTTGGGAACAGATTTCCCAAGGGACCTTGTTGTGTAGGAAAGCTACAGGTTCAGATTAACTGTCCTTAAAAAAAGGGCTTATCCTCTCCTCCCCCTTTTGTTTTGGCCAAATTTCTTCTTAGGAAATATTCGGGAGCCATGTTGAGTTCCTGAATTGCTGGGTTTACAATGAAAATACTGACAGGCTTTTAATTGCAGAGACACTAATGGCACTAAGCTAAGCTGAGCCACTTATTGGGGGTATTAAGAGATAAAGATGCAACTGCCTGATGTCTTCACAAGAGATTATAGGATCAGTGTGGCCTGACTGGGGGCCAGAGAGATAAGACAGTATTTTTTCCTCTTTCTGTGGCTTGGTTTTTTTTTTCCCCTAAAAGGCTGGTTGCTGCCATGGGTACCAGCCTGTGTCTGGGGTGCTGCAGTGCCAGGACACAAAAAACCTCTTAAAATCAGGGGGTAAAATGGGGAGGGCACTCACAGCAAAGGCAAACCAGGCTTGCCAAAGAGGCCTGAGGCCATGCAGCCATCTCTGCCAGCCTTGTCCCTGGCCCAGTCTGAGCAGACTGTTTGCATGGCCTTTTCTGCAGCCACGTAGGGGAAAAAAATAGTGGTTTTTGTTTTTAGTATCTTCCCTGGGCATCCAGTGTTGCAGGTCAGGAGCACAAGGAGTGAATTCTGATCCTCTTTGCTGGTTGCAGCATTTCTTGTGGCAGAGTTGATGAGTTTAAATCACTGGTGTCTGAACCAGGCAGCTGGGCCACCTCTTGGCTCTGCAAACTGGGAAATCTGGAACTGAGATCTTCAAAGGAAAGTAACTGTTTGCTGGCTGTGCCTTCTTTGTAACTCCAGCTAACACTTCAGTGGGCTGTCTGGATTATCTGTGTCTGTAAACTGCCTCATAAGTGAAATACTTGGAGTACATTTGAGGCTTAGGCTTCATTATATTTGTACTTTGGTGAAGCATTGAAACCATTTTACAGTGCTGTGCTGTTCCCTGTTCAAACAGCCTTGCCAAAGCTTTGCTGTCTGAGGGCTTTTGTTACAGAAGGACCTTAAAAAATAAAGGCAGCAAATCATTTGCCCACTGTCTGATTTTCCTTTCAATGCAGAGGGGCTCATTTGTGTGATCAGTAAGGGACAGGCAGCTCAAGAATATTTGATGTGATTAACTCCCTGGGGCTGGTGCAGGAGGACAGGGAGGCTGTGCTGGGAGGATCCCTGGGCTGGCAGGTTTTCACAGCACCTTTGTGTGCACTCACCTGCTGGCCCTCAGTGTGCATCCAGCCACATCTTCTTCCCACCTACTTTGGAAGAATGCCTGGAAAGGTGTCTGCAGCAGAGCTGTGGTCAGGGCAGCACCAGGGGAAGTGGTCCAAGCTCTGTTGCCAGAGTATAACATGAATTAAGTGAGCTTTGGGTTCGGTGGGATATACCCCTGCAGGCAGCTCCTTCCACAGAGGCACTGTGCTAAAAACAGGCTGCCAACTTTTTTGCATCCTCTGTTCCAACAGATGCCAACAGAGGGAGCTGTTAGATTTGGGATGTGGCAGCTCCTGGCCAGGGAGCGTGGTCCTGGCACAGCTGGCACCGATAGTATGGTTGGTATAGCTGGTGTGGATGGTTTGGCTGGCACAGCTGGGCAGCAAACAGAGCCTGGCCCCACCAAGGAGCAGCCCTGCCTGGCAGCTCTCACTGCTGGACACTGTTTTGGGGTGTCCCAGGACCTGCTGGTCCCAGCATTTGCTTTCCTTCATTTGGCAATTGTGCAGTTAGGATGGATGAGGGGAGCAAAACTTTGGGAGTAAATTTTGAAGGGAGAAATAGCCACTAAAGGAATTTAAAAGCCTCATCTGTAGGATCATGGAATCATTAAAATACCTTTCAGGACTGCAGAGTCCACCAGTTTTCTCCCCAATGTGCTCAGAAAAAAAGCAACATGAAATTTGTGGTATGAAAGCTCCATTGAAGATAATTCAACAGAATTCAAGTTATCCTCAGCTTTTCCTGTCCTTTTGCTCCCCTTGGAAAGGTGCAGACAACCTCTGAGATACACACTTGAGCTGAAAAGCTCAGAGAAGCCACAAATCCACCTGAAACCCTGCCCTGTTCTTCCTCATGTCATCCTGCAACTGTGTAAAGCCTGAGGGATGAAAATGGGCTCTGCCACATCCCTTCAATTGCCTGGGTCCCAGGGCTGCCCTGCCTGCCAGGCTGGATCCTGGCTTTCCAGCAGGCATGGGGACAGTGCAAAAGGGACTGGGAATCTGGGACTGGGATTAAGGCTGATAAATCCCAGGTGCTCTGTATTGCTGCTGTGGGTTGGAATGGAGGGGTTGGTTTGTAGTTGAATTGTTTGGGGCGTGTTCAATAGTTGGCTGCAGAGCACTGGAAGGATCCTGTTTTATTGCAGTTTGCATAACACAAAATCAATGAACACATTCAAGCAGATGGAAAGGAAAACACAGGAGAAAAAAAACAGCACTATTTGGAGGAGGAAAGAAACAGCAAAGAGCACTTCTTGCTGATACTTTTGCCTTGAAAACACAAGCAGATGCTCTCACAGCAGAGCCCTGATCTAACATCCACCTGCCAGCTCCCTGGGGCTGGGACATGCCCCAAAGACACCTTCATTCTGCAAAGGGCACCCAGGATTGTAACAAGCAAAATATCACCCTTTATTGCAGCCGTGACCTACTGCATGGCTCGTAATGAGGAATTTTCCATTTCAAACTTTAATGCAATAATTAAGATGTCCATTAAGGGCTTTACAGTTTGACTGCTTGTAATTAAAACTGGGGGTGACAGGGGGGCAATGGCAGGGAGTTGCAGACCATGGCATCAAGTTCCTGTCAGCAGCTTGAAGTGCTCTCCTCTTTTTTCTTCCCTGTGTTGTTTCTTTCTTCAAAATAATTTTCCTGGGTTTGTTTGTAACTGTCTTCAGGGCAGGTGGCCTGAAAAACACACAAACCCCAGGCTTAGTTCCCACATGTACAACTTGGTTTTGAAAAGGAGATTTTCCTCTCTACCAAAACACTTCCAAAATCCCGGTGCTCCTGGGCTGAAGGTTTTGGGGTTGTCTCTGAGCAGGGGGTTCCCTGGGACTCCAGGGACATTGTCTTGGGCCAGGCTGCCCCACCGGAGGGCCCCACAGCAGCACTGGGGACGTGGTGTGAGGCAGGAGAGCTGAGCTCCAGCAGCAATCACTGGAATAACTGGAACGCCCAGTGTGACCATCACCAGCAGGAACCCTGTGTGGGCTTTTATGCTCCAGTTGGTTTCCAGACTGGGACAGCTCCCTGCTTACACAGTTCCCCATGAAGGGTTAAGGGTGGGAAAGGTTTTCATCCAGTAATGAAAAGAGAAGAAATCTCCACTTAAACCCACATCTTCCAAAGTGTCTCTGCTCCTGGGAGGCCAGTCCCATTACCCAGTAATAGGATTTGGCCTCCTAAAGCAACACTGAAATACTTGTAGAATTTTGCTCCCAAACGACCAGATTTTTTTGCAAAGGATTAACAAAAATTAATTATTTGACTGAGGAAGTAGCTGCCAGAAAATCTTTGGCTGATCCCCTG